AATTCAAATGGCTTTGCAGTATGGCGTATAAACCCACAGTGCCACACTGTTGTTGTTGTTGTTAAGTGCCATCGAGTCGGTTCCGACCCATAGCGACCCTGTACAGGGTTTCTGAGGGTATAAATCTTTACGGGAGTAGAAAGCCTCATCTTTCTCCCACGGAGCGGCTGGTAGTTTCGAACCGCTGACCTTAATGTTCGCAGCCCGATTCGTAACCACTAGGACTCCCTAAATTCAGATTTTTGTTGTTGTTGTTAGGTAGGATACACTAAATAAAAGTCATATTTTTAACTCTGGTGAATTTGGTTTCATTTTCTTCAGCTTCAACCTGAATTTGCATATGAGCAATTGGTGGTCGGTTACAGTCAGCTGTCAACCTTATTTTGGCTGATAATATTGAGTTTCTCCATTGCCTCTTCCCACAGATGTAGTCAATTTAATTCTTAATTATTCCATTTGGGGAGGTCCATGTGTATATTCATCTTTTATGTTGTTGAAAAAAATGTATTTGCAATTAATAACTGATTGATCTAGCATCATTTCAATCACAAAGGCCATATTTTCTAGCAACTGATCCTTCCTCTTTATTTCAAACTTTCACATTCCAATCACCAGTAATTATCAATGTATCTTGATTGTATGTTTTAACAATTTCAGGCTAAAAAAGGTGGCAGAGTTCAATTTCATTACTGGCTTTAGTGTTTGGTGCATAAATTTAAATAATAATGGTATTAACTGGTCTTCCTTGTAGGCATATGGCTATTATCCTATTTAAGACTGCATTGTATTTTAATATAGATCTTGAAAGGCTCTTTCTGACAATGAATGTGACAACATTCTGCTTCAATCTGTCATTCCCAGAATAGTAAACCACATGATTATCTCATTCAAAATGGGGAATACCACTTCAGTTCACTAATGCTTAGTATATCCATCTTTATGTATCCCATTTCATTTTTGACAACTTCCAATTTTCCTAGATTCATACTTTGTACATGACATATTTTATTTATTAATGAGTATTTACAGTTGTTTCTTTTCATTTTGAGATGTGCCCCATCAGCAAATGAAAGTCCCAAAAACTTTGTTCCATTCATGTTCTTAAGGTCAATTCTACTTTGAGGAGGCAGCTCTTGTCCAGTTGCATTTTGAGCGTCTTCCAACATAAGTTGCTGATCTTTGGGCATTATGGCAGACAATGATATGCTGCTATTCATAGGTGTTCAGTGGCTAACCATTCTGAAATGGTCCTCTCCTTCTTCCTACTCTGTCTTTGTCTCAAAGCCCAGCTGAAACCTGTCCACTATGGGTAACACTGCTGGTATTTAAAATACCAGTGGCATAGTTGCCAGTACCATAGCAACACACAAGCCACTACAGCAGTATAAACTGACAGATGAGTGGTGGATCCCTAGCATTAGTAAATATTTGTTTCAATTATGCATCCCTTCACATAAATTCTAATGGTATAGACAGTGAAAAGTTCATACTTTATCCTCCTGTATGTTGTCCCCTCTAAGGTGCTCAGGTAGCATAGTGGTTACAAATCAGGTTGTTAATCTCAGGGTCATCAGTTCGAAACTACCAGCTGTTCCACCAGAGAAAGATGAGACTTTCTGCTCCCATAAAGATTTACAGCCTCAGAAACCCTATGCAGGGTCCTTATCAGTTGGAACCAAATTCCTTTAATATTGAAATCTTAGACCTTGAACAATAATGTAGGCATAAATGGAAGCAAAGAGTAATAGGAACATGTTGTTGTTGTTGTTGTTAACTGCTGTAGAGTCTGTTCCAACCCATAGCAACCCTGTATAGGGCTTCTGAGGAGCGGCTGGTGAACTTGAACTGCTGACTTTGCAGTCCAGCCATTAACCCACACCAGGACTCCAAAAGGAACAAGTTATTAAGTGCCATTGAATCGATTCTAATCCATAGTGACCCTGTATAGGATTTCCAAGGAGCAGCTGGTGAGCTTGAACCACTGCTTGCAGTTCAAACAACTTTGCAGTCTGATGCATTAGCCCTCAGAGCCTTACCAGGACTCAGACAGGGTCATAATGTAAGGAAAAAATGCAGTAAACTTCAAGTGGACAGAGTCCAGAGATCAAATCAGAACAATGTCTCCAGTGTGGGACAAGTACCCATGAGCCACAGACAAAGAGATGACCAAGCATCAAAGCAAGCACCCAGAAGCATTAGGACAGGAAGACTCTCCAAGCTAAGAGAAGGCAAAGGATTATGAATCAGTGAAAGGTGGGGGGAAAAATGTGTGTCAACAGTACAACAGAAAAATCTACAGATGAATCAACAAAAGATTAAAATGGAGAGGAAAAGTAACCATATAAGGAGATTGCATAGCTACAGCCACAATTAGCACAGGAGAGAATTCAGATACTAGTATTGTATTATAGGTATTATAGGATCAGCACTGGGCTGTGTATCACAAGGTCGGCAGTTCAAACTCACCAACAGCTCCTCAGAAACCCTATACAGCTTGCTATGAGTTGGAACCAACTTGATAGCACTTAACAACAACAACAACATTTTCAATGAGACCTCTGACATTGCACTATAGAGTAAGCACTGGACTGGTAGCCACCAGGTCTGCAGTTTAAATCCGTCAACTGCCCTCAGAAGCCCTATACAGTGTCACTATGAGTTTGAACTGACTCAACAGCACTTAACAACAACTAGATTTTTGAAGAATATTTGAACTCAGAGAAAAAGAGGAAGACCTCCAACGAGATGGATCGGCCAGGTGGCATCATTGATGGACTCGGGGGTGGCAGCGGTGGTGAGGTTGGCCCAGGATCGA